GAGCTGCTCGCCCACAACCCTGCTGACCTGCCAACGGCAGAGGTTTGGCTGTGGCGGAATCCGGTGGCACCGCGGGAGACCTTCCTGCCAGCCGTGGGGACAGGCTGGCCGCAGGGGGGCCGCGGTCTGGGCGCCAGGGGTGGAGCGGGAAGGGGGGGCTGGAAGGGGTAGCAGAGGGACCCCACTCTGCTTGGAGGAGCAGCAGGGCCCCTGGGGTCATGGTGCTTAAATCCAGGAGGGGAGACGGCGCCCAGAACAGGGGCCAGTTTATTGCGGGTGCCAGGCCGCCGCCTCGTCCCCACGGCCCGTGAGAATCTGGGTGAAGGCACACGGGCAGGAAGCTCAGCCGCTCCGTGGGCCACGGCGTCCCCCTGGGACCCAGAGGGGCCCTGTTTGGGCCCTGGGTTCACACAGACACGGGGTTCGCTCCTGGCTTTGCCTTGACCATCGGGGCCTGTCCATCTGGCCCTGTCCATCCAGCCCTGTCCATCTGGCCCTGTCCATCTGGCCCTGTCCATCTGGCCCTGTCCATCCAGCCCTGTCCATCTGGCCCTGTCCATCCAGCCCTGTCCATCTGGCCCTGTCCATCCAGCCCTGTCCATCTGGCCCTGTCCATCCAGCCCTGTCCATCTGGCCCTGTCCATCCAGCCCTGTCCATCTGGCCCTGTCCCCTATCCATCCAGCCCTGTCCATCTGGCCTCGAGCATGATCACAGCTGGACCTGCCGTGTCCCCAGAGGCCCCGGGCAGCCGCTGGGCGGGGCTGCTGCCGCCTCAGGGTGACGTGGAGGGGCCATCCTGTCCCTCCCGGCCCGGCCAGGCCTCTGACAGAGTCACACGCTCCTCATCTGACCCAGCTTCTCCTTTGCTGACCTGCACTTTGGTTTTTCTAAATTTGAGAAACTTGGATGAAGCAGGCGTGTGGCTGTTCCACGTGTGGCTGTTCCACGTGTGGGTGATACATGCCTAAGCGTGAGCCATTCCTGACGCAGACCAGGTCCCGAAAGACCAGGGGCAGGAGGCACGCCAAGACCGGCGGGCGGAGCTTGCTGCCTCAGCAATTCCCCCGGAGTCCTGCTGCTTCCGGTGGGAGGCAGGGGGCAGCCACACGGGGCCACGGAGCCTCCCATCCTCACAGGGCCACGGAGCCTCCCGTCCTCACGGTGCCACGGAGCCTCCCGTCCTCACGGGGCCACGGAGCCTCCCGTCCTCACGGGGCCACCAAGCCTCCAGTCCACACGGGGCCACCAAGCCTCCAGTCCACACGGGGCCACCAGTCCTCACCGAGCCCCCCAGTCCTCACGGGGCCACCGAGCCTCTCGTCCACATGGGGTCCCCCAGTCCACATGGGGCCCCCAGTCCTTACGGAGCCCCCCACTCCTTTAGTCCACACGGGGCCACGGAGCCTCCCGTCCACACGGGGCCCCCCAGTTCTCATGGGGTCCCCCAGACCTCCAGTCCACACAGGGCCCCCCCAGTCCACATGGGCCACAGACTTTAAAAACCCAGACTACAAAGGCAAAGTATGAGGAAAATGACTGAGAGTGGAGACAGCACCTGAGACGTGCTGTTGGCAAGGGCCACGCCCACCGACACAGGCCCGGCCCGGAGGAGCCGCAGGGCCTCTGGTCCCGGACAGTGACCGCGTCCCGGCGGCTGCTCCTTCCCGTCGTGGGACACGTTCTTCAAGCCGAACAGGACGTGCTGTGCAATTTCGTGTCTGCGGACAAATCATTCTCAGGTTCTAACACGGGAAGGTGAGGGGAAGCGTGCCCCCTCGCAGAGAGGAAAGCCGCGCCGGCCTGTCTTCACGCCGGCCCCGCTGATGGCCAGACGCCCTTCGCCAGTCACCATGGCCGCCCTTGTCCCTCTGGCGACTGTCTGTGATGAATTAAACCTCGCCCGGTTGTGCTGCTGTGAAAGGAGACCCACAGCCCAGAGCCGGGCGGGGGGGCG